GTTTGAGCTGAGATACCTCCTATGAAGGAGGTTCGTCTCAAAAGTGTTGGACGAGACGGAGGTAGCAGTGAGGGGATCAGCATACTATTGTTCATTCCAGCTAGGGAGGGCAGTGCGGGGTTTTGTTCATGAAATAACTCAGCTGTACGTGTTCGAGTTCGTGATCGTCCCCCTCTCGGCTTGCGAGTTAGAAATTGAGAAATTTTAGGGCTATGGGTAAAGCGTGTAGGATGAATTCAACGGTTGGCAGCAGAAAGATCTGTGTCCAAGGGGGTAGGTGGGTGTGGGTAGAGGCGCTCTAGGCACCCTAGAATTTGCTAGCATTTCCTTTTGTTCTTGCTTTTTTTATTTGAGTCATTTTCTATGATAAGAAATTTTTTATTTTTCTTTCAAAAAACTGGAATCATTAATTTCCTACCCGATTATTATTATTAGGAGACTAGTGCGTTCTAGAAACTCGCTAGCTTAATCGTTTTCCGTTTGGCTAAGCTTTCAAGAATTTCCACCAAGAGAATAGTAACCTATGTATGATAAAGAGGCCTTTGAGAGACGAATTTAGCTGGTTATTTACTGAACCTCGATGGCTCACTGTCAGCTGGAACATGTGGTGCTCGTTCATCTTGTACCAGATCTCCGAGTTCACTGAAAAAAGGAGTTGGCCGTGTCTCTTACTGCTCAGAAATATCCGTGAACTTTGTTGAATAGCGCCAGTGCCAAGAGTAGGTATCATATTCATTACTAAGACCGAGTAGTCTTCGCTGGTTCCATACATCACTCCAACGCTGTAAAATTACTTACTCCAAGCAAATTCTCTGGATCTTTTTCTGAACTTCACCGGGCCGCTTAGCGAAAAAGAGCGTCAGTTTTCAGTCCACATGAGAACATGCAAAAAACCGTTCTGTAAAAGATGCTTCGATCCCTGAAAAACCTCCCTTATTGGTGTATGTTACTGATTGTTGCAAAAAGAAATGGGTTCTCAGTTTTTGTCATTATTTAATCTATTAAGGTCGTAGTTTGTTTTAGAGCAGTCTTCGTGACGTTTTCCGCTCTAAACCTGTTCAGTTTTTTTCAAACAATCAGTTTCGCAGTAGTTCTTCTGCGTTTTGAATTATTGCAAGCTCTTGAAATTTAGGGGCGGAAGTGGTGTAGTGGCAAGTGGCACGCTAACCATGCGAGCGGTCCGGGGACAAATCCTGGGTCGTGGGTCGCGCCGGGCCAACCAAGCCTTCCATCCCTCCGGGGTCGGTTAATTGGTACCAGACTTGTCTGGGAGGATAAAAACACTGACTTGAACATCGGCTGGCCCCCGCAAGTCATTGTATAGGCCACATCGCATTCAAACGCACTACGAATGTACAAATGGAAGTAGAATGCGTGCCGCATCCCAAAAAGGGATTGATCAACGGCAAATGCTTTATCCTTTTATTTATCCTTGAAATTTATGCTTTTGTACAAGCCTCAGCTGAATGTACGATAGTTCTTCAACACTGTGCTGCCCAGAACCCCTTATAGGGAATCTTGATGGGTAAAGGCATCCTTAAGGTGTCTACAAGATCGCAAAAAATAACGTTGTTTCACAGCTCGCCACTATGCTTATTATTCATCTGGGGTAAGGTCTCATTGCGGGAGGGTATAGCAGTATTAAAGCTAGACAAAAAAGTGTGTGACTGGTGCTGCAAACCTAGATCAATAGCTGTCTGAACGTTGACGAGAAGAGTGTCCCTGCCAGGAATTCGGTGTTAACTTCTTCGAATTAAGGGCAAAACCTTCATAAAGGGCTAAGATACGACAGCAGGAACCGTAACTGTTGGTATTTCACTTGCAGTCAGCCGCATGGGAACCACACTCATCGAACCCTGTCTTCCTTTTTTATACCAATCGTTATATCTGACGTCAGGATACTCCTTACTAGCATCGAAATCTCTCGAAAGGGCGATGGTGTAGTGGGTGGCGCCAGTTCCCACGAGCACGGTTCGGAAGTCAGATTTTGGATCGAATTTCTCTCAGGCCAGCCATGCTTCGTTTCCATCGCGATTAGTTAAATAGCATTAGATTAGTCTGGGAAAAATGAGGGACGCTGAACTTGTACATGGGCTGGCTCCCATGAACGACTCAGTGTATGGGCTCTCAGGGACGTTAATAAGGTTCATCGCTTTTTAGAAAGTCATTCGAGGGGGATGTCGAATGTGGCGCATCCTAAACGACCAGAAGATTCTTGACATCCTCGTTCTCTGAAATGTTGATGTTGTGTTGATAGAATCAGGCACATTTTGCATCAGTGTTTCGTATAACTTCGTATAATGTATGCTATACGTTGGCGCTGGTGCGTTTTTATTGACCGGAATGTCTGGCGGCAGGGCTAGCACTGTTTGGTGCCCTCCGATTATTTTATAAAAACAATTTGAAACACCGCGTTAGACATTCTAACAATTCCTGTGCTCGCACTTTTTTTGCAACATATTTTACGAAAATTTTACGCCTTGAGGGCCTTTAAAATTTATTTATCAACAAAACAAACAAAAATTATTCAAAAGGAATCCCAAATGTTTATTTTGGGAGTAGGGCAATTATCTTGGTGCTTTAGCCCTTTCTGAACCGTTGAATGTTTAAATTTGTAAGTTAGGGTTAGTATTTTGAAATCTTATTAACTCATGCCTACACAGCCTCTATTTAATTTGACTTCCCACTCCCGAGTCGGTTTGCAAAGAAACTGGTTCGAACTACACCGCGCTACCGCTACGGGGAATGAGGCTCCATGACAGCACAATGTTAACATTTTGAAGTTATGAAATCAATGATTATTTCACGAAGGAATGCGTAGATAACCAATTACGTGCTCTTTGACATAATATCGCATTTTTTTATGGCTTAAAATGGAAGATTCGCAGTAGCTTCGGGTAGTTCGAATTGAGAGTCGCGGGTCCTTCAGCTGATTATGGCTGTGAACTTCAATGTCGCAAATCTTGGAATTCCTCTGCGAAATCTGAACAGGATCCTATTTATCTATTTCTCAACAACCTCCTGCTCTAAGTGGTTGATGACTACATCGTACCAGATTTATACGACACGTTTTCTAGGATGTGGTTCGAAGAGCGTAGTTGGTCAAATCTGAGGATGTCAGATCTAGTGGAGGAATGGCGGGATCTCTGGTCATTCAAGGTCGGTGAACTAAGAAGTTTCTATAATTTTTTTGGTCGCATATGGATAAGCAGCGAGAGCAGGGGAGTATGTGGTGCGTTGGTTTTGTGCAGGCTACATTCTCTACGATTTTGCAAAAGAAGGAAATTTCAAGGTTGCCTGAACTATTTCGCTTTCACTTTACACCAATCCTGAAGATGTTTTCCATAGTAGAATTGGGATTACTGTGTGCTGTACAAGTTGTAGCACCACATGCCCCTTTCTTGGAATATACCTATGACTTTTGTATTGTATCCTGACACCAAATAGGTATTATGTTGTCATTTTGCGCTTCCAAATATCCTTATTTATTTACTCTGTAAGTTTTTTTGCAGGTGGATTTTATGGTAGCTGCTATCTCGTATGTTTTTGCCACTACTAACTTCTTGAATCTGCCGAAGCTCATTTTAGAAAATGGCGGATGTGAGTGATAGTTTCGTTGATATTGACCATTTTGAGGGTCTCATGTTTTTTCCTCCGTTTTCCCTACCATCTCGTTGCCAACACCCCATAGGGGCGGCCGATGAGGTAGCATTGCTGAAAAAGTGGTATTTTTTATTTTCGTGGGATTTGTTCCATTTTTCTCCGTAATACTCTGAGTCAAAGATTTTTAGTTGCATTCGTAGCCGCATATGGTATTGTTCTCGCTGTCCTGGTACTTCCTACCATTCTGTTAGAACTTGCCGTCGGCCAGCTGACTGGTCGAGCACCAGTGCAGGCGTTTTATAGCCTGTCCCCTGTTTTCAAAGGTACTTTCTTTGAAATCATATTCCAATACTTATCTCAGGTTTTCTTTTATTTTTGCTGAAGTTCTACGCTGAAGTTCATCTTTTCTACCCATGTGATACATTTTTTCAAGCTTAGTCATGACTGTCGTATCAGCTAAAATATCTACACTTACTTACTGTGGGATCTAACCATAAGATAAGGGTACTGGAGTTGTGCAACTATGGCAGGCTCACAATGTCTCGTAGTGGTGGACTTCGTGTGAAATTTCGCAGCAAGCAAAACCGGCGGCTGAAGCGAGATTCTGAAGGGCGGACGCAATTCCCTGGAACTCAATAAATTCGAACTATTCGAACCTACCCCATCTACCCACCCCATTTTGATGTGGAGCCTTGAGCCTCTTAAGGAGACCCTCATCGCGGCTCGCAAACAGGCCACTTCAGGGTGATCTACCTTTCATGATTCCGCGGAGATTCCGGATCCTTGACAGATTTTGCAGGCTTCCGAGCTCAGCTTATGAGAATACATCACTAGAACTTAATCGTTATTTTAGCGGAAGTATTGGTCCCTCACGTGAGCTGAAAAGTTGCGATTGTTGCGAAAGCTGTCGCGAACCCCTTAGAGTAGACTAGGCGATGGCAATATGGGGTCTCCTGCCTATAGCCGGGCCCGTCCAGAAGGTTCTCCACCTCTTATGGACTTATTGAAAATATTTCGCGAGAGCGGAGTTCCATTAGTTCTGTCTCCTAGAATCAATGTTTCGAGAAAACATTTTCTACTGTTCAGAATGAAACCCTTGGTTTTCAAGAGAGAGGTTCATGTTCAATTTGTTTAGGCATCGGAATCTCGCAAGTACTGTTCACGTTGCTTGTGTTGGCAACGATGACGCGATTTCTGGGCTGGTTGTTTTTATTCGTCTTTCATCTTTTCTGGAC